AGTGGGGGCTGGGGAGATGAACGCTGCAGCCAGCAGCTACCCCATGGCCTCCCTGTACGTGGGTGACCTGCACTCGGACGTCACCGAGGCCATGCTGTATGAAAAGTTCAGTCCTGCTGGGCCTGTGCTGTCCATCCGGGTCTGCCGCGATATGATCACCCGCCGCTCCCTGGGTTATGCCTACGTCAACTTCCAGCAGCCTGCTGATGGTGAGTAGAGCTGTGTCTACAAAATCGCAGGATCCCATGGGCCCTAGGAGTCATCCTCTCTGCAGGTCCCTATCCCCCATGGAGGGCATCATGACTGCACGTTGCCACAGAAGCCATAGTAGGGAACAGGATGCAGGGGTTGAGAACACGGGATCCTGGCATCAGATGACCAGAGTTTCAGTCTTGCTTCCACCACTTGCTAACTGGGTGACCTTGGGCTAATCAGTGGTGGCAGTGGGGTTGGAGCCCATGGAGACGGTAAAACGGTTTCAGAGGGAAGTTACTGTCATTTCATGGTGTATGTGGTCCTGCTTCAGTGGGGCTGGGTTGTTAGAGACACTTGCTGGTCAGTGGGCATGGGCTCATGCCTCTTACAGGCCTGCCAGAAAGGCAGGACAATTGAAACAATTACTGCAAAAATTTTACATTGCAAAGCTGCTGCCCTGTTCCCTATCTTTACTCTGGACTAAGAGTCTGTTTGACTTGGTGCTGATAAGGGGTCTTTCAGGGCAGGTAGGAAGCAGAGAAACATTTCTGTGCATTAAACGTGAGCAGGCACTTAATGTTAACACCACAAAAGCAGCTTTTGCCAGGCCAGCTCCCTGGTCTGTGTGTTTGCCACTGGGATGATTTGTTCTCTGGATGAAACCCTGGGCTGTGGAGAATGGTCTCCAGGTAATCTGGGGAAGCGAGGCTTGGAAATCTGCTGGGCTGGTAGGTATTATTGTCTCACCTGTGAACAGTGCTTTCCACTGGTGAAAACCATCCCATCTGAAGAAAAGACTCCTGAGAAGAAAAAGGAACTGAAAGGTTGGACGCTAAGCTAGGACTCCTAGTGCAGTGTTCTGCGAGCCCAAATTGGGCCTTAGTTTGGAGTGGCGAGGTATGCTGCAGGCCTGGCAGGAGTGAGGCCAGAGGAAACCTAATCAGGAGCTGCACGTGACTCCAGATTAAAAAGGAACAACTGTAGAGATCATTACTGAGAGAAACAAGTCATTCTGTGGCAAAGGATCTCCAGGTCTCTCTTTCTGTCCCCACTTTGTGTGTCCCCACTTTGTTAACTGTCCGTGCGGCACAGAGAGTATCACTTGCCCAGGATGCAACTGAGACCAGAGAATTCGACTTGTCGAGAGACGTGGGACACAAGGCAGTGCTCCCACCAGTTCATTGTACTCTGAGCTGACTTGTGTCTGGCCACAGGTCACAAAGGTAGCTGAGTGTGACCTTTTTACGGGGAGTAGTGGGTACATTGGCTGTTGTCTTCTTTCTTGACTCTTCTGAACAAAAGTCTTGTCACTTAGAGATAGTAGCAGAAGCCATTGGTCAGTGCGTGTGCCAACACATACCTCTGCAGGACCTTTCCTTGCTATAAATAAGTGCAACCAGATTTGTCAGACTAAGCCGACTTGCTTTCTGCAGTGCTGTCTGGAAATAGAAGAGGAGCTATGTTGAAATGGGTTCCTTCGCTACTAATTAATGAAACAGTTTGGGGTTCCAGGCTTTAGCTCTCAGCTGGCCGTCAGAAGCGAACTCTTCTGTGCCTGGACTTTTCCTGACTTGGATCTGCCCCTCTCCCTTTTCCTGACCTCCTCCCCTCCCACACTGAGGAGCCCACTTGAGGAAGGTGGGAAAGGTAGTTGGAAATGAGTGAAAAGAAGATACTCCCTTGGCTGGCTGGGCAGCTAAGCTTGTAGAAGGGCAATTAGGGAATTTTGTCCCCGTTTTAGGTGGGATGGTGCCTTGAGGCCGGAAATCCCCCAACCCCATCCCTTGATGGAGCACATTCTGGGAGAAAACATTGCAAAAGGGAAAGTGGCCACCAGCTCTGGGTCCTTGTTACTACCAGTGACTGGAAGTGTTCCGGCCAGCAGGTGATGATACATTTTAGCTTCTTGTCCTTTAAACGGTCTCCACGGTGCACACATGGGAACCTAAAGAACCAAGGCCCTGGATGGAAAACTTGGTTGAGCACAGCATTCAAAGTCTTGGAATTCCATAGAAATCAGATTCAGGGTTCAGAAGACCTGGAAACCAGGTGCAGAGCCTACCTGCACTGTCTACTTAGGCAGAAAGGTGTTGCATTTTTCTTTGATAATACTAAGAATGTTTCTGTGTGTGACCATTACTATTTATCATTTTGGTGAATGAGACTTTTTTGTCTGAGTCAATTTTTGTTCTCAAATTGAAAATATAAAACTGGGTTGAATTCAGGGATTGCACATTTTTCCCGATCAGTTGCTCACATGTTTTGCTTTTGTCATTTGTCTCATAGACAGATGATAGCTAGTTGATAATTTTGATGCAATACCTTACTGAAAAAAAAGAATCAGAAAATCTGGTATTAGTTTTTTAATCACTAGTTAGCTATACCTCTTAGACACCTGAACATGTTTGTTCATTTTATAAAATGGATTTCACCCATTCCACCATGACATAGTTAGGCTGTAGTGTCTTTTTATAAATGATTAAAAAAAGCTTAGTCAAATATGAGGTACAGTAGTCTCCCCTTGCTTATTGTTTCACTTTTTGCGGTTTCAGTTACCCGCAGTCAACTGTAGTCCGAAAATATTAAATGGAAAATTCTAGAAATAATTCATAGTTTAAAATTGTGTGCCATTCTGAGTAGCGTAATGAAGTCTTGTGCCATCCTTCCTGGGACGAGTCATCCTTTGTCTAGCATATCCATGCTCTATATACTACCTGCCAGTTAGTCACTTAGCTGTCTCAGTTATCAGATTGGATCTACTGGGGGTACGCAGTGCTTGTGTTCAAGTAACCCTTATTTTACTTAATAATGGCCCCAAAGTGCAAGAGTAGCGATGTGGGCAATTCAGATATGCCAAAGAGAAGCCATAAAATACTTTAAGTTCCTTCTTTAAGTACAGTACAATAAGATATTTTAAGACAGACCCCATTCTTAGAACTTTCATTACAGTACATTGCGATTGTCCATTTTATTGTTAATCACTTACTGTGCCTAAAAAAATTTCATCATGTAGGTATGCATAGGAAAAAGCATAGTATATATAAGGTTTGGTACTATCCTCGGTTTTAGGCATCCACTGGGGGTCTTGGAACATATACCCCACCACTGAATTATCATTTGATCCTGGTGCCATAAAGCCATAGAGATGATTTAGTCTAATCCCCTTAGGGGAGTTGAGACTTCTGCCATGAAGGAGTATAATTGGCTAGAACTTATTCTACCCTTAGTAGCAACATAGACTAGAGAAATCTGATGCCCTTTAATTATGAGTTGCCTTTTATCAGAGTGATTACCTTGAAAAGTCCTCGAGTTACCTGTTCCTGGGATGGTGGCAGTCATGTGAGGTGACGTTTTAGATCCTTGACTGAAATATGTTTCTCTTGCAGCTGAACGGGCCTTGGATACCATGAACTTTGATGTGATTAAGGGAAAGCCAATCCGCATCATGTGGTCTCAGAGGGATCCCTCTTTGAGAAAATCTGGTGTGGGGAACGTCTTCATCAAAAACTTGGACAAATCTATAGATAACAAGGCACTTTATGATACTTTTTCTGCTTTTGGAAACATTCTGTCCTGCAAGGTAAACACTGATTAAACGATTTCATCAGATCAATTACTGCATCCTAAAAACAAAATAAATGCTAAATAGGAAACAGCATTGGAATTGGGTGGCAGGTTATAGCAATTTTCAAAATTCTAGAAATGGCTCTGAAAACCTAAAAGTTCCCTGTAGGTAATCTCGTGCCACAATTCAGCATAACCAGCAGGTGCTTTTATGTCTTTGTTTGTTCTTCTGCCTGAAATATCCTTCCTGTCTTCTAACTTTGGAAAGCAGTAAAAGGTTTCTCTTTGAGGGCAGGGGTGGGGCAGAGAGGACCAGAACAGGGCCTCAGGTTTCCAGGTAGCTGTACATAGTCATTTTAGAAGCATAAATTCACCCTCTTCTTTCTCCATGTACCAGTTTATGTATAGAATTTTGTATAACTTGTGTGGTGATCGTTCACATGTCTGACTCCACACTAGACTAAAATCTGTTGTGGGCTTAGAAAATGGTTTGTCTTTCTGCAGCAGATCTCTCAATGTTTTTTAATAAAATAAGAAAACATTTGGAATAGAAAGCCCAGTAGCAGGCTACCATTTGTAAATGGAACATTACTGGGTGCCTGTTGCCGTGCCGAGTGTTAGGGAAACCTTACCTGCTGTAGTCTCTTGCTGTTTGACCATGGGTGGGCTAGAGGCCTCAGACACAGGAGACCCAGAGTAGGAGACCACATGGTTCTCCAATCTTTGGAGCTGCCCAGTGACACTAAAGTGTCCTGCCTTGTATTTGACAGGTGGTGTGTGATGAGAACGGCTCTAAGGGTTATGCCTTTGTCCACTTCGAGACCCAAGAGGCTGCCGACAAGGCCATTGAGAAGATGAACGGCATGCTCCTCAATGACCGCAAAGTGTGAGTGTCCCAGTCCGGAGCAACAGCCATCGCATGAGCCAGCCGTGGCCCCACCTCGGTATTAACTGGCACACACAAGGCGGCTACTGGTTCTCTCGGCCCAAGTGTGGCCTGCTCCTACCTCTCCACTCCAGGGCTGGTGAGTCTCCCTGCCGAGCTGTGGCAGCCCTTTTGACTCGCCAAGGTGGGCTTCCTGCCCGAGCCATGGCCTGCCTGCTGCCTCTCCCTTAAAAGCATCCAACTGTGGGTTTTGTGAGCATTGGCAACCGGGGCTGGCTGGAAGACAGCTCTAAGCCCACTCTGAGCAGGGGTCTTGGCCAGCAGCAGAGTGGAGAGGGCCCTGGACTGACCAGGAGCTGTATACTAGCTGTGTGACCTTGGCCTTTCTGTGACTCATGTCTGTCCATGGGGTCACTCGCTAAGGGTTGATGCCAGATTTGTCCTCAGATCTCCATTTAGCTAACTTATGACTCAGTGGCCTTCTGATACAAGGCTGGCTCCCCAGTAATCTGATTACAATGAAAAATCTTGTCCCATTGTAAAAGGTACTGTTCATAATAGACCTTGTTGCTTTAGTGTGAGTATTGCAGAATGGAGGAGGGGATCTTAGCTAAGCCATGTAGGGAGAGAAGGGACAATAAGTCTTGGCTATAACAAGCAAAAATCATTGGTCTTTTGTGTTGTCGAACAGACCAGGGGATGGTTTGCATTGATTATGTGTATGTGCCCAGTGGTCATTTCTTCCAAAGATATCACTAGAAAGAAATCTAAAGATTTTCAATATATGGATAATTTTCCTATTAAGTGTAAACAACACCAAAATGAATAAAGTGAAAAATTAAAGGCATTTCATTCCAACAATTTCACTCCTAGGATTAACCACTGTTAACAGTTTGGTTTGTATCCTTCCAGACCTTTTCTATGCATTTACATAGATGCACAGAAATGAACGTATTAAAAACATGGTCTTCAGGTTGCTTCACGAAGGCAGTGTGATGTGGTAGGAGTAGCCCTGGTCTGAGCCAGGAACCCTGGGGCTGGTCCCTGCAGGACAGTCCTGCCTCTTTCTCTTTCTGCGGGGAGTTGGGCATCTCTGAGCTTGCTCTCTTGGTGGTTGGGTGGGGATTCATGTGTTTTAACTTATCCTGTCAGCCCTTAACCTGCATTCTTTTGGGCCCCCGGAAATCATGTTTTATTCCTTAGAGTGATCACTTTTTTATGGTTTCTTTTTAGATTTGTAGGCAGATTCAAGTCTCGGAAAGAGCGGGAAGCCGAGCTTGGAGCCAAAGCCAAGGAATTCACCAATGTGTATATCAAAAACTTTGGGGAAGAAGTGGATGATGAGAGTCTGAAGGAGCTGTTCAGCCAGTTTGGTAAGTCAAGTCCTTTGCTCTGTGCGTCCGCTTTCACAGTCCACCCGATCTGGAATTCATCTGTTTTTACTTAAGAGATGAGGGCACTTAGACTCATAAGTAAAATACCTTGCACAACAAAGGTCACAGGATAGATAAGAGTAGACTCCAAGCCTCTGCTCTTGGCTTCATCCTACCTCGTTCAAGCCCCAAGGCCATCTCAGCAGCTTGGTCAGAATTAGAAGGCCAGGCATGTTGCCTCTTTCTTAAAAGTCTGTCTGGGTTCAGCAAGAGGTTGCTCCTGTGGGCCCCTGGAGAACCCTTCTCTCCTTGAGCTATGGTAGAGATGGTGTTCTAATAGTTCTGTCCTTTGGTAATAGGTAAGACCTTAAGTGTCAAGGTGATGAGAGATCCCAGTGGGAAATCCAAAGGCTTTGGCTTTGTGAGTTACGAAAAACACGAGGATGCCAATAAGGTGAGAGTACAATGAAGGTCGGGAAAAATTTGTAGGAAGTGGTCCCAGAGTGTGGGGACGGCCTTGCTAACACATAGCATGGAACTGGAAATATTTGAGTATCTAGTAGTGATGCACAATTACTATACTCTGGAATTATTTTCTTAAGCGGTTTTACATGTTAATGTATCAGTTTACTGTTTTCAAAACACTTAGCGCATACCTGTCACTTTAACTGTTCAGCCTTATAGGTTGAGCATAAGTCAGGTATTTGTTCCCATTCATGGGTGAGGGAACTAAGGACCAGAGAGTTGTTGATTTGTTAACAGGTCAACAGCTACTTGTGGATGAAGCATTGTGCTAAGCTCTCAATATATATCACTTAATGCCCACAAAAGAACTTGAGAAATCTAGTGACATCCAGATTATCAAGCTAGGCTCTTGCCTACCATGCTTGTATTTATACAACTATTATTTCTCTATATTTGGACCAGTAATCCATTTAAATATTAACCCCATTTTACTGATGAGGAAGTGTGGATTTGCTTAGCTGACTTCAGAGACAGAGTGAAGTTAGTTTTTAGCCCTGTAGGGGAAGATTTCTTTCTTGGACTATTTGGTGGGACATGCAGACCTTCAGAGCAAGGCCCCTGCCACCGCGTTTTGTTTTAAAGATACTTATTTCCTCTTTAGGCTGTGGAAGAGATGAATGGAAAAGAAATCAATGGGAAAGTCATTTTTGTAGGCCGTGCACAAAAAAAAGTGGAACGGCAGGCCGAATTAAAACGGAAATTTGAACAGCTGAAACAAGAGAGAATTAGTCGATATCAGGTGAGAGGTGGTCTTGGCCCAGCCTACTAGTGGGATTTACTGTGAAATATGGCAAAGCACCCCTAATGTTCAGC